TAAATGGATACAGAGGTGAATGGACAAATGTGCCAAATAACTATATATCAATCGCTCTGCATGAAACCAAAGAGAAGCATTCAGTGGCTTACAGTAGGGTTCTGGCCTAGGGCTCTGCTCTTCAATGTTATTTATGTCTTGAAGAGGAGTTAGTATGGCATTTGCAAATGACACAAAGAGAGCAGGGATAGCCAAACAAGATGAATTTCAAGGCAAATGTAAAGTTTTACATCTGGGGAGGAAAGAAAGAGCTTCTGGAGAAGACAGCTCCATGAGAAGCCAGGCGAACAACTGCAGTGGAATTAAAAGTATACCCTTTGAAACCTCTCCAAAGGATAGGACTTGAAATCATCATACAGACACCGTAAGGTAGCAGTCTCCAGTGTGTTTGAGCTCCAGAAGACAAGAGAGTTGCCATCTTGTTCAATATGTGGTCAGCACCTTGAAAGGATACTGGGTTTGGATATTTCCTCTTCTAATCCCTTTTGGAAATTGCTTGACAAATATATCCCAAAGACATCAAACAAATTTTCCCCATAAGGAATAATGAATAGTGAGTCACAAGGCAGCTGACAGCGACAAGTTCTAGCTTGTGCATTGATACCAAGCTAACAATGAGTATGGGACAAAATTGTCGCATCAAAATGCAGTGAGTACCAAATTCGATAAGTTTCCAAATAGGTGAGTATCAAGGTATGACTGTATATAAATCAAAGCTTTAATCACAGGCACACAAATAAAATAGTGATTAAAACTTTGACTTTAGAGTCACAAATAAGGGTTTGGTTAAATTTGAAATAAGATTTTGGATTTAATTATAAAGAATAGTTCCAGTGGGAAAATGTTTTGAATTATTAAAAAAAGGTAAGACTTAAAATTGGACATTAGAGGAAACTAGAAGGATCTAAAGAATACAATTAAAGAACACCACAAGGGAAACTTGACTTACAAATACAGAAAGAAACAAAATATTTTAACACTGGATATATTTTTGAAGAATGGATTAATCCAGGAGTTAATTTTAAGAATCTCTGTCTCTATAAATGAACTGTGTTTAAAAGATGTTATAGAAAAGCAAAAGTTTTACCTAACATGATTGAAAATGATTTGATCGTGAATTTAAAATGACTGGCTACAAGAATGACATGGAAAAAAATATTACACTGGATATAAAAAAGAAATTGGCTGATATCTTAATAATTAAAATATACAAATAAAAAACCAAGAGAGTTACCTGGATACTTTTCCTACACTTGTTAAAGTTTTGATTTTATGAGAAGGGACAAAGAAAAAATATAAAGAAATCAAGTTTTAAGACATTTTTTTTGAAGGTACTAAAAATCAAAATTGTTAGAAGTAAAAAAAAGTTAGTTTTTTTAACAGCTTTTATGGCTTAAAAAATCTAAAACCCCTTAACTAGATGATGTCTATGATATTTCCTTCCATTACATTCTACAACTGGCCCATTAAGTTTTCAGGGTGAAAAGGAACTTGAATTAGGAGAAAGGTTCATGTTTAATATTTTAGCCCAATGTGGCTGGCTGGGGAATTCTGGGAATTGAAGTCCAGGTATCTTAAACTTGTCAAGATTGAAAAAGTTCCTTAACCACGAACTCCACTGGCTCTCCTGGCTAGGCTGGCTCAAAGTTCTGGGAATTGGATCCCCAATACAACACATGATGTTGGTAGAGAAGCTGATCTAGTGGCCGCTACCGCATTACAATGGGACAAGCACACAATAAGTAGGGCAAATTTTCCAAGCTGACTTTGCACAACTTACTAAACCATAAAACACACATCAAAATTATATTTAATCATACTTTTACTATGTTGAGAAAAGACAGTTGCAAGGTCTTTAACTTACATTTTATGAACCCATGCTAAAAGTCAGATGCGGATATGAATGGTCAAAATTGTCTATACAGGTAGTCCTCGACTCATGACCACAATTGAGCCCAACATTTCTGTTGCTAAGTGAGATATTTGTCAAGTGAGTTTTGCCCCATTTTACAACCTTACTTGCCACAGTTGTTAAGTGAGTCACTGCAGTTGATAAGTTAGTAACCTGGATGTCAAGTGAAACTGGCCTCCCCATTGACTTTGCTTCTCAGAAGGTCGCAAAAGGTGATTAATGACCGTTTTTCATATTTATGACCATTGTAGCACATTACATTTATGACCCCATGATCACATTATCAAAATTTAGACACTTGACAACAGATTCATATTTATGACAGTTGCAGTGTCCTGGGATCATGGGATCACCTTTTGGGACCTTCTGAGAAGCAAAGTCAATGGGGAAGCCAGGATCACTTAACAACAAGAGCCTTGGTAGTACAGTGGTCTAAAGCACCCTGTTATTAAGACCAGCTGCCTGCAATTATTGCAGGTTCGAATCTTGCCAAGGCTCAAGGTTGACTCAGCCTTCCATCCTTTCTAAGGTAGGTAAATTGAGGACCCACTTTGTGGGGGCAATAAGCTGACTTTGTATAAATATACAAAAGAATGAAGGCTATTGCTTAGCGCATTGTAAGCCGCCCTGAGTCTCCGGAGAAGGGCGGCATATAAATCAAATTTTAAAAAAAAACAATGTTACTAACTGAACAGCTTGCAGTAATTCACTTAACCATGAGACCAAGAAAAGTCATAAAATGGGGCAAAACTCACTTAACAAATGTTTTACTTAACAACAGAAATGTTGGGCTCAATTGTGACTGTCGAGGACTAAACATGTAGTTACGTGTCAATACAACTGGAAGACAACAGGATGCAGAAGATGTAGAGAATCTGGGATATGACAGACAAGAGCAAGCAAAAAGGGAAGGCAGGTAAAGGACCTTGAGGTTTGCAAGATGCATGAGCCAGATCAAAAAACAGCCTCCAGAGAAAGACTAGAACTTATTATTGTTATGCTATAACAACTATGCCTTGCAGATATTCTAAGCCTATCTCATATAGAGGTATTTTTTTTAAAAAAAATCAATAAGCTAAAGCTTCTTATTTGTTTAGAAAGGATCTCAATCCTCCGTATTCATTTCAACATTAAAAAAGTATGGGAACAGCAGAGAACACAGAGATGAGTCACATCAGTAACACTGAACCAACACCGGATTTGGGTGCCTGCAAAATCAGTCTTGCAGAGTTTTGTGGCTGTCGTGGGAGAGATTGCAGTCACAATCTTGCAACTGCAAGATCAGATATTCTTACTTGGGAGAAAAATGTTAAAAGCAGCAGAGGCAATCTATTCAAAAAGGAAAGCACAGTATTTGGAATGGAGAAAAGGGAGGGGGAGGGGGTACAGAAGACATCTGAAGTAGAGAGCACCGTTACTCTACTACACAATGCCGTACTGTAAAACACCTGTTCAACCCTCGGCACTTGACTGAAGCTCTGGCATCAAGTGAAGAGAGCTATAATCTTAGGGGTCCATCACCAACATTGCAAGAGTTTGTTAGTGGGAACTGGGAAGAATCATAATATAGGAAGGGTAGCACCGAATACCCTCCCCCAGGCTAAAATTCGAAGGGGATCATTCATTTATTTTAACCTCTCCTTTAACTAATACATCCTGTCACGTCCCAACTTTCAAACTTTGACCAGATTAAGAGAATTAACGAAGCATACGAGATATCAAGGTAGGAAAAAAAGACAGTATCAAGAGAGAAAGTAGGGGTTACACATGGGGAAAAGACATACTTCCCTTTCCGGTCATTCTGCTCTATGGTCTGTCACATTATAATTTCCTCTGCTGTTCCCACTTTCTTACCTCCCAGCTCTAGTTCACTTTGTAAGCTTCAATTTGTGAAATTCCACTGCTTTCTCAAGAACAACCCAGGAAATTACAGCTTGGTATCATAAAAATGTAATCGACACAACTGTGACAGCAGCTGTTCCACTTCCCTCCAACCCGTTCTCAATTCCCCCTTGTGTAAACTCACATCTAGGGTCTCTATTTCCACATCTGGATGAAGGCTTGTCTGCTAAAAAAGAGATGATGCGCTGTTTGATCGTTCCGGCAGGAAGGAAGTACTACAGCCACTAGCAGGAAGTCAAAGGGCAGATGCACTAAAGCACGACATGGGGAGGAGGGGGGACGTAAGGGGAATCACAAATAATACCATATTCAGAAGTTTCAGGAATATACACAGTATGAAAGGGTGATTTCAAGACTTATTTCATCCCAGTCACCAATTTCCTAGGAAGTCCAAAATCGCTTACTTGATCATAATTCACACCGCAGATACTTATCAGGGGTGGAGAAGTGTTACTGTACTTTCCAAAAACTCACAAATTTATCACATAGTGTGTTAAATTTGAAATGCACACTCCTACATTTTTTTCAGTAGGTTTTTTTTCAGCAGATAAATATATTATGGATATAAAGATACTTTTACAGAAGTAAATCTCTACCCCAGACCCCTGCCCAATATAAAAGTTTATTAAAAGTCAAAAGTCAATTTTAAGAAAATATTTAAAGTAGAGTGCTCTTTTTGTGAATTAGCAAATTTTGAGGACTTAAAAATCGAAAACTGATAAACCTTTCATCTTCAAAAAGTAGTGAAAATAAAGAGATTTTCAACAGAAACCTGAAATGCATTCTCTGAACCCTTTTCTTCCTGCTTCAATCGGATTTTATATTGGATGGACAAAATAAAACAGGTTTTCAAATAAGGTTCTGGACTTCCATGTATAGGATAGCAATGATAAAAACAGCAGTGGACACAAAGTTATTTGATAAATATTCAGATAGGAATCTATCCCATAAAGAATTCTGAGGCAAAATATTTAAGAAACAGATTATATATAAATACAGGAACCATTTTATCAAGGTATGGCTGTAAGAACAAAGGCCAAGTTTATATGGTCATTGGCATTAAATCCTAAGTAGGTTTCCTGGACTGTACATTTTGGGCAATGGAAGAAGAGAAATGACTACAGATTTCAGAAAAAAGTCTTCTAATACACAGTAAAATCAAGACAAGACAAAGACACAGTCAAAGTAAACGTGATAAAGCAGCTTCATGTTTTATTAATACATATATCCTACTTATGTATACAAAGTGGTCATAGTAAGTCTGTTCTTTGCATAAAAAAACCCGAAGGCAGAGGAAGAAAATTATACCCTCTTTTATCATTGCTTATTTTTGAAATATAAAAGGCTTTCTCCACTATCCAACTTATTTTTAAAGACTGTCATTTACTTATGAAGATGGGATAGAACCAAGAGCTATCTATCGCATCTTTTTAAATTCTTCGAAGAGCTATCTTTGTTTTTTTAATTTGGTATTATGCTACATGCATAATGACTTTTTAGCATGCACCTCCCCCCTCAAATATCCAAAAATGGTTCAGTCCAGGAAAAGCATTGTGAATTTCTGATTACCATATATAAAGTCTGCAAACAGCAGTCTGTTTTATAAGACTTTATGTATCAGTGAGCTCAGTAAAAAAGTTATACTTACCAGGATTGAAAGGCTATGCTGCTTCTTACTTGCACCATACAACACCAAACTGCAAATCCAGAAACATTCTTACTAATCGTATCCTCCTATTTCTGCACCAATCTTGTAATAGCTATCTACACATGTCATTCTGTGCTTTTCCCTTCTCTCCCACCCCACCTGAAATTCAAAACAGCAAGCCACAATGATCATAGTTCACGTAAAAAATTCACCAAGCACCTGTAAAACTAACATTGACTTTCAAGTTCAAGATATCAAAGGAAGATCAAGAAAGCATTCAAACTGAAAAAAAGTTCAAAATAATTAACAAGTCAAACATTATATTAAAATCTGCATTAAAGAAAATAGTATTTTGGACCTGAGGCCTGGTAGCACAGTGGTTGGAATGCAGTTCAAACCTGGCCAGCTCAACGTTGACTCAGCCTTCCATTCTTCCAAGGTTGGTAAAATAAAGACCCAGATTATTGGGGACAATATGCTGATTCTGTAAACCACTCAGAGAGGGCTGTAAAGCACCATGAAATAGTACATAAGTCTAAGTGCTATTGCTATTGAATGCTTAAATTATGTTGCTAATCTGTCTTGATTTTATATCTGGGCTGCCCAAGGGAGAGCTAACATCCTGCTATGATTTCAGTAAATATTGCCTCCACATACTGTATTCCAATCATGCTTTTACTACTCCGAAGATGTTTTATGAACAAAACCAGTGAAAGCACATAATCATATAATTTTTACATTTGCTATCAGATGAAATTCTATATGGTTTTGCCTTGATAACAAATTATTCCCACCTCTAATATCTGAGAAAAAGAAACCACTAATGTAAATTAATAACAGCTCCTCAAAAAATTTCAAAAATGAATTAATTTATTGTGGCTCAAGCCAAAGCCTACTTTTTTCAGATGAATGAAGAAATAGTTGTATTCCACAAAGGCAACAGAACAAAAAAGGAATGAAATTTGTAGGCGAAAATACACAAGCTGCAGACTGTAACATCAGTTTAAGAGAGACCTGCCACACTAGTGGTATTAATGTTATTGCTCTACCATAATAATCAATCAGTACAGCTGGGGGTTCAGCTTAATTCAAAATATTTGTAAGATATCAGGTCAGGAAAAACATTAATTTCAATTACAACTCATTTTTCTACATCTGATTTTACATTGAAGCACACTGAAATGAACCCATAATTGACTGTAATGGTTCTAATCTATTTATATTACAAATTAATAAAAGCCCACTTAATTAAAGTGCAACCACTTTCTTTCACAGATGTCTTTCCAGGAAGCCTTTTTATTTAAGCTTCTCCTCCTCAAGGTAAAGAGAAAATGCAGCTAGCAACTACGTTACAAGCACTTCAAAGTGACAAATGAAACAAACAAACCCCTGCACTTAACGCCAGGAGCAGACGCCAGATGCCAGTAGAACCGTGAGTAATATACAACAGTAAGCATTGAAAAATAGGAAAGGGAGCTGAAAGTAGTCATCGCAGGTAAGTTCCTCCATGGATGATAGCAAAAAAAAACAGGACCTGGTTGTACAAAACAAAGTATCAATCATCCAAATTTTGCCCATCTTCATTCCATTGTTCCACAGCAACAATATGTTAGGAACAAAAATATTAAATAGGAATCTGAGGCTACAACCATTTATGTAACATTTTTTCATGCAATTTTTCATACTTCAGAAGTTGACGATGACATCTTAATAGAGATGCAAAGCGTTTTAGCTTCTCAAGTAAAGTATAACTGACACGTTATAGTGTGACCTTTTTTAAGGGTCCCTCCTAACACTGATTTTGTCATGAATACTGGTTTTCTCCTGAAAAGAAAAGCAAGGGGCCTCTAGATGGTCAGTTCCTATCAGTATATTTAGAGGATTGTAAAAACAGAGACACCATCCAAACATTCTGCAAAAATATAGGAAGGCAGCGACACTACAAATAAAAGCCTTTGTATGGAAGCATAGATGTGGCCTGGAAGATTCTGTTTTTCTTAAAACCCAAGACTATTGAAGACTGATCTTTTCAGTTAGTTCTTTCTAAAACTTTTACAAGTTGCTTTGAATTTCACAATGTGGGGGGGGGGGGGGGGGAAGAAAAAAAAAAAAAATCATCCAAAAGTTGAAGATTAAGTAGTAGATGTGTTTTTGCTATTTCATTCTCATTCATCTGAGAAATGCCACATGACTCTGAATAGTGTTTGTGATTTATAAAAAAAGTCCTTATATACATAGCAAAAAATTGTGATTTCACTTCCTGTTGTCCATAATCCTTGCCTTGGTGCCTTAGAGTCTCTCTCTCTCTCTCTCTCTCTCACACACACACACACACACACACACTTTCTCTCTCTCTCTCTCTCTGTTTCCTCAACTGCCAAATACAAATCTGTTCAAGTTTCCAAAACTGAAGCAAGATGAAGATGAGACTTCAGATAAGGACACTGGAGACAGGAACTTTTGTTGATCGTCCATGCTGAGGAACAACAATGCGGTCCTCCCCTTCCAAAGACTCGTGCAGCTGACCTGGAGTGAGGAAAGGAGCATGTTAAGGTCTGCCTTCACAGGGGAGGGCCTTGTCCAAAGAGGACAAGATTCTGAAAGGAGAACGTCATATGCCTGCACTCTCTTTCCTATTTTTGTCTTCCCTTATTTCTTTCACAGCTACATGTTGCCATATACAGGTAGTCCTCGATTTACAACAATTTGGTCAACTGTTCAAACCTTACAAAGGCACTGAAAAAAGCGACTTATGACTGGTCCTTACACTCACAACCTTCTCAGCATCCCTTGTCACATGATCAAATCCAGGCATTTGGCATTTACAACAGTGGTAGAGTCCTAGGGTGACATATACTAAATAAGGGTCCCAGGGTCATTTGATCACTATTTGTGACCTTCCAACACAGCTTCTGATAAAAAAAAGGGGTGGGTGGGAGCCAGATTCACTTAATGACTGTATGATTCAAATAACAACTGCAATGATTAGTTTAACAATCACATAAGAAGTGATAAAATTGGGTATGATTCACTTAACCAACTTGCTTATCAAAGAAAATTCTAGTACCAGTTCTGGTCACAAGTCAAAAACTATTTTTACAGCAATTCTGAGTGCCCTGGCATTACTCTTGTTCGGAGGCTACTGCTTCAATGGTTGCAAGTAAAAGCATTTGAAGCCAGTTATTTTCTTCCCTCTTTCTTTCAGAATGTTTAAGAAAAAGAAAGAAAACAAAAAAACACACAAAAAAGAGGAAAAAAGAAAAAAGAAAAGGACAAAGTAAATAAAAACGGGAACTAAGCATCAAGACAGTGCTGAAAAAAAGAGAAAACTTATTCATGTGATTCAATGCTTTATAGATTTTGAGGAAAACTTGGTCAGCAGCATCTGTGAAACATCCGAGGTTAAGAATGCTTCCAGGGCATACTATTCAATACCAGTGACTATCTCCTGAAGAACCCACATTGAAAATGTTCTCAAACACTCAACATTTCAGAATAGTTTATTCATTTGTGCACTTCTAGCACTGCCTCCTTTATGTGTGGTATACATTAAACCAAAGGGTGTACATCTCTGTTTTACTAGCAGCATGTGCCTTTGTGACATAGCACTGAATTTAGACACAGCCTGAATTCTTGAGGCATTAATTCCAACTCTGTGGAGATGGCAGAGGATAAAAGTTTTACCTTGTGCATACAGCTCTGTCCGTTTACGATCTGCCTGAATGAAACAAGCTGTAGCTAGGAAGAAACCACCACCGATAACACCCACAAAGCTGCAGACCATAAGTGCATATTCCAGGCTTCGGAACTGTGATAGCAATGAAACGGGGCGATCACTCTGGATTCGGTCACTAATCTATGAAAAAATAATCATCATCATCATGCAATCTATTAGGTAATTTCCCTAAAGAAAGCCTTCAGAACTAGAGATGAATATTGTTATTTATTGCTTCTCTTGCTATTTCATCCCGCTTGAAATAAATAGCAAAACAGGCACACATCATAGTTTATTTTTCCTTTGCAATGGAAAATATGAAAATAAGAATATCATTTCATAAAATTCAGCTACTCCTTATCTGAAATAGCAGCCCACTGCAAGCAAAACGTAAAAGAAGCAAACATGATTTTAGAACAGTAGTTCCACCAAGTTTTCAATTAACTTGCAATTACAAAATCAATTTGTAATCAAACTCAATTTTGAAGAAAAGAAACATTGTTAGATATATCTAAACAAAAATGGGTATGGAATCTACACTCTCTCAAGAGCAAAACCATAGTTTTGTAGTCATATATGAGTGTGCCCTGCTTTAATCTTAGCTATTAATTCAAATCCCAAAACCCAGCATCTGCAGTGATCTTGCAGTCCTAGAGAAGTTACAATGCTTAGAGCTGTGCTGTAATGTTTACTTTTAATTTGAAAAGGACTGTTCTAATTGGGAGAAAGAACAGGGGGGGGGGGAGGGAAGAGAGAGAGAGAAACTGCGTAGGAGGTGGAACAGATTGCAGGAATATCAGTTCTACAACTCCAGCCTAAGCCTTATATCCAAATACTTACCAAACCAATAAGATAAGGACTCCCTGCATCACCCAGAAGATGGGACAACAGAATCTGAAAAGCTTCAGCCGTGGAACGGCGAGTTGGGATGACAACATACTGCAAAGAGAAAAGGGGATATTTCATTTGATAAGCTTTGTCAAGAAATATCAAGTGACTGTAGGATAAAGCTATAATTATTTATATCTTTTTTTCCACTTTATTGTTGTAAGTTTATTGTTGTAAACTAATCCCATGCTGAAATGGGTAGCAAATAAATTTAATACATAAACAGATAAATAAAGGAGGGGCAGGGAGTTTGATTCTAGGGGCTGGGAACCACTAGCCCCTTCTTGTCCGAAGAGGGAAAAGCCAAGAAAGGTGAATAGGATTGGTGCTGCTGCCATTAAGGTATGAGGCAACTAAACAAACACAGATTCAGTGATGAACCTATCTGCAACATTATCTAGGGAGAAGGGAATATGAGAGATTGGTCACATGAACTATCAGAGTTCCTGTAGGGTAAAACAATTACTAGTGATATAACTCTACTGCTGATTGTTTCTTTATTTCTACTTAAAAGGCCTGCACTCAGGCCTGCTATTAATTTCAAAGTCTCAGACCCTGTTTGTTAAGCAAATGTACATGTTTTCCCTTCCCCATTATCTCACCAGAAGCATGTCTGCCACTATGGCCCAGTTGAGGGAAAGGAGGATTTCACCAATAAAAATAAATACCTACAAGAAAGAATGAAGAAGAATCATTTCGTTATATTTTAAAAAGATACATTATTTTTCATGAAGTGCCATACATAGAAATACCCTTTCCCGTGCCCCCAACAATTATATTAAAATCAAGGAGAAACTTAAGAAACTCACGTAAGTGGCAACAATGCTCTGCTGAGCAAAGACAACAGCCAGAAACAGGAAGGGGGCAGAGCCAAGCAGTCCAATGGCGCACACCAGGGGATCAGCACGGGGATTGATGCGATGCCAGCGTCTTGAAATCTCCACTCCAGCAGTAACACCCAGGACACCAGTCACACAAGTGATAATACCAAAGATGAGGCTGCAGAGATAATTATATATGGCCTGGTGAGGCTCTTCAGAAATGGTTCAAAATGATTAAATAATCAGCATGTTGGAATCTTTTCAAAAGCCATACAAAGTATTTAGAAGAACTCAGAAATGAATAGTCATGATGTTCTTCAAAAGAGACCAAGAAAATAAACTAAACTAGAAATCAAGACACAAGACAGTACCCATTGTTAACTCACCTGTCAGAGTCTCCATGACAAACCTTACCACTAGGGCAAGGTGGGAGATTTCCAGTGGCCAACCGTGAGCGGTACAGGAATGCAGGTGCCCACAATGCTAGGGAGCCTGTTACAAATGCCACGGCTGTGAATCCTAGTGATGATAACACGAAGCTACGGCTGGCCAATCGGGGGACAGAAAGAAACAAAGAAGTAATGTCAGCATGTACTATAACCTTCTGGATATCCAGAACCAAACAAGAACAGATCTGAGCTATCAGAGATCTGTTATCTCAACAGAATACCTCTATGTGTTCCTGAGTAATGATCTACTGACTGAGTCACAAGTTGTTCAAAAAATGACTATAGATGACACAACTTGCATACATGTTAGAAGTCATATCTGGCACTTTTCTGATGGCATACATCTTAGGACAGTGTTTCCCAAACGTTTTCCTTCATTATCCAGTACCACTTAGAAACTCTTATTGAACTTCAAGGACCAGTTTTAAGTCCCTTCAGCACCACTGTAATTTTAAATGGTTGCTGAATAAATAGTTGACAACTATCTACATTGTAAAATCAATATCAATAGAAGACAACATATGTAGGTCGGGATTGGATTGTGGGGTGCTTGGTGTTTTCTGAATTTGGTTGTTTGCTTGCAGACATTTCATTACCCAACTAAGTAACATCATCAATGCACCAGGACTCCAGACAAACAATATCACTGAATAATCTTTATGTCATTTCAATGAAGTATCACTGGTAATTCAATCAATTTTCATCTCAATAAGAATACTTTGGGAGATTTTCAAATATATTTTAATAAAAATTGCAATTTTAAGTGAATTTAAATGTTCCTGTTGTGATGGGTAATTGGTTCATTTATCCTTATCTAAATAAAAATTGCTTTTATTCAATTTTAAGTAAGATTTGGGAAGCACTATCTTAGGCCATGAGTAATCAACTTGCTATGTGAATAGCACAAGGCTGATAAGCATTATCTAACTGCAGAAGTCTTGTAAGCTAACATTTCTGACTCTGGCATAGCCCTGTCTCCCTCTCTCCTGCAGTGCAAATTCATTAGATTAGAGACAAACAAATGCCACTCCTATCAAAGTGTTGAATTAGGCTATTTAAAAGAGCAAGACGAACCCAGGTAGTGCTTCCTACTATACCAGGTTTTTTAGTCATCTTTTATTGAATAAATCTCAAATTCGTTGAATTCAAGTATTTATGAAGCAAATCCTACATTATGGCTTAGTACATGTGCAAACTCTATGAATCAAATTTATATAACAGGCTAAGCCAAAATATGGCTTGTTTTAGGGAACTGTCTATTGTGATTTATTCGCATATCATGGTTAAACAAAAACAGCTTAGCAGAAGTATTAACACAGCTCGTTTCTTAGAAAACCACCCTGCTAACGACATTTAACCCAAGGTTTTAAACTATCAAGGGCTAAGGCAAGAATATTCTGAAGGATATTGTATTCAAAGAACAGTTTCCATATTGACTTGCTGTCCTAGTTTCATTGCAGAGAATTTAGGGGTATAATTTCATGGCTTACAGAGAGAACTGGCCAGGCCTGTTAAAACTTAGTTAATACTCTATGTCACACCCAATATCTCTTACAACTTCTTTGCCAATTGTGTCTGTCAAGATTGGCTTGAACAAAATGACAAATCTGCTAAAAAGTTCTTTATCTTCATGCTGATAAAACATCAAAAATATTAACCTGCAAAAGTATTCACACACTAGCTCCCTAAAGTAATCAGCATTTCCCTGCTATTATTCTATCTCATATACGTATTTTTTATGTATAACTCAAGGTTATATACCTTTTGTGAATATACCTTTTACTCCTGCCTATTTACTCCAAAACAACCCTGTGAGACGAGCTGATCCAAGTGACTGGGCTGAATTCACCTAGCAGGCTTTCATGGATAAGAGAGACCTTAAACTAACAGTATCCTGATTTCTAGGCCAGTACCTTAACCACTACACCAAAAGTAGTCAGCACTTCTCTGATAATTATAAAAAAAAATCTGATACTCTACAATCTACACACGTATGTCTAGTTCCTTGGCCAGACATTTTGTAAAAATCTTCTACCAAGACTACCAGTAGACAACAGCAATCTGTTGTTCTTTGTCAGCCTGTGAATGTCATACTGAGTAGTGAGCTCCTTTTCTTCAAAAGAATACAACCAAGTGGTTTCCCAGAGAAATGTCAGTGATCCAGCCCTCTCCACTAGCCCTTTCACTTGGAGGGACAAAATTCCATGTCACTTCTGGCTATCCTGCAAGTTATGAAATAAAAGTTTGTTTTTAACTCTCATTTATGAGTATTTGCACTGAACTGGAACCATTAAAAAGGGCTAGAAGGTAATTCAGGGGAAAAAAAAGAGAAGCAAGATCTCTTTCTGTCACATGACTTACTTGTGGCTCAGGGCTCTCAAATCAGCTGTCCATGAAGTGTAATGAAGAGGGGCATCGGTGCGTGTCTCTACAGCTCCTCGGGGTGGTTCACGCACCACAGTTATCAATAATAGCAAAGCTAATGCTCCCAAACCTGGAGTCACCTGTGAGGGACATAATAAAAAAAAATCCAGTGTGAAACATTCTGAAAAGAGAAAAATATATGTGAATGACTTAGAATTAGATTTTAAAAGGGTTTTAACATAACAACAAACATTGACTAAAGTAGATATAAATTCTACTTACCCGCAAGGCCCAATGCCAGTCATCAGCCACATCTTTCACCTTTGACCCCACAATATAACCCAGTCCACTGTAGAAGAAAATCAGGAGAGCAATCAAATCTATAGTCTGGCAGGTTTCCTAACTTCCACCAAAGCTAGTTAATACTTTATCATCTTAAATTTTTTAGGATATGGATATGCAAGCTATATAATGTAATGTTAGTTTTTGATTTCCACAAAGATCTCTAGTTAAAAACCTATCTTTTCACCCTCCCTCCAAATATAGACCACAGGATGTTCCCACCTGCCTACAGGTATAGCAAAGTAGAAGATGCTAAGCATGCGGGATCTCCGGTCACCTAAGTACAGGTCAGCAATAATGGTGGGGGCAATAGTTGAATAGCTAGCCTCTCCCACACCCACTAGGCCTCGTGTAAGTAGCAACATCCAGAAGAACTGAAGAGGAGATAAAAAACAATGTATGAACAATAGAGAAGCAGACATAAGCTTTAAATCTAGAATACCCTCAATAGGAACCTTGAAACTTCTCGTTGTGAGCTATGAATTAAACATTTTAACTCTGTTCAGATTTTATTTAGTTATTTATTTATTGCTTACTTAAAACAAAATTGCCTTCAGCAATAAAACAGGAAACCTTAGAAAGATTTATTTCTAATTTTGGATAATTTATTTGAGGCGTGATTAAAAGAGAGAAAGAAATACAACTATTTGAAAACAGCAACAGCCAGAGAGTTAACTTCTCCTCTCATTGCCTGCTATGAAACTTCATGCAATTGAATGTATGGTATTCCTCATCACTAAACCTATTGGAAAGGTTTCATAGCTTGAAAATGCAGAATTTCAAAATTTCTGGAGAATGCAAAGAAGTCCCCTCTTCCACACCCGATAAATACCTGCTTGGGGATGAAACTGCTCCCTAGTGTCACAATAGACCAGAAGAAGATTCCTATACACATCAGGTATTTGCGATTGTAACGATCACCCAGGTAACCAAAAATAGGTGCCAGTACCATGTAGCTGCTAATAAAAACTGTTAGAAAAGGAAAAAGAGTTTTATGTTCCACCTCTATTCCATATGAAGTGTATAAATGGCTACTGAGGGGATAGAAAAGTCAAGCAAGACCTATTGCATCAGTCCTCACCTGTCTGTAGCAGTCCTGATTTGCTATCATCGATATCAAAAAACTTCTCAATGTCAGGAAGAACACCTGAAACAAGAAATACAGAACTTCAGATGAGGAGACAAATATAGTACTTTTCGTCAATTTCATCCATAATGATCTAACCCAGGAGTGTCAAACTCGTGTCGTCACGGCGGTATCATATGGCATATTGTGATTCCCCCCCTTCGCTAAACTGGGCATGCGCGTGACCAGTACATGATGCATCCGGCCCATGGGCCGTGAGTTTGACACCCCTGTTCTAACCAATGCCAGGAACAAATGGGGAGAATCTATTTACTTTGCTTTAAAAGTTACATGCCTTCAACCATTTCATCGGTTCAAAAAAGAAACTGGAAGAATTTCAGCTACCATTCCATTATGCTTACCAGCCACAGTGAAGCGATCCATGTAGTTCAGTAGATTAATAAAAAAGAGTACACCCACAATAAGGCCAGCATGTTGAGAGGATATTCCTGTCAGGGCCCGTACTTCTTCTTCCCCTATGTGCCCTGGCTGAGGATCATCTTTTCCTTCACCTTCAGTATCATCTGCCTGGGTCAAAATTGGAGCTGTATCAGCATAAGGTTGCTGCTGGGATCCCATAGCTGGGAATAAGAAAGATCCACTGTAAGAGAAAAAAAAGAACAATTACAGGGGAGACGGACTAGATTTGCAGATCTATTTTAAAAAACAGAAGGTGTACCAAAACTGTACAATTACAGGAGAACAAGATTAGAGAGAAAAAAACCCCACAAGGTCTATCAATTTTTGTAAGCCACCTGAGTCACTGAATGTGAGTGGGAGGCCCTACAAATTTTCATCAATCAATCAATCAATCAATCAATCAACTGAAGCATGGTGGAAAACCAAATACTATTAAAGGCACTGATCAATTTAGAATCCAGATGAGGTAGTTTAACTCAGTAATTCCAAACTTCCTTCTTTAATATCCTATTACGATTTTTGTTGCTTGCCTTATTACCCTATGACTATCCCTGTGTTGTACCTTTCATTTATGATGATTTGTATTTTATGATTGTGACTTGTTGCTTGTATGTACACTGAGAGCTTATGCACTGGAGGCAATTCCCTTGGCCAATCAAGAATTCTATTCAACAGTGCGGAAAGTTGCAAATTCCTTTGGCCGATGCCTTCATTTTGCAACCGAACCTCAGGAATCTTTACCAGCCCTACCACAAATCCCTGGTATCTCCCAGCCAATCTATTTTCTACCCACGCCTGCTTCTAAGAAAGCTGGGGAGAAAGGTTCTTAATCAGAGTGGCTACTCCACAGGGCTGTTGTTAGAAATGACCTACAGAACTACATATCCCTCCCCTCCCCTTAAAAAACAGACTCTCGGGCCTCTTCCGAAAGAACGGAGGCAAATACGGGTGGAAAGAGACAGAGGAGGGCAGGCTGATTCTTTCAAAAAAACGAACTATATCCAATCATGGTTGTGGGAAGCTTAACTGCCCCCGACTAAACCCTAAATGCTGGTTTCATCCTGCAGGTATAATTCAGCCAGAGGCCCCCCCAGGATCAATCAACACCCCCCCCCCACCCCCTAGAATGATCCATTAGAATGAACTGGGAGAGGAACTCTTTAACGAGAGCGTGCCAAGTTCCCCCCCATCTCCAAATTCAATGTAATATTCCTCTTCCACAAACTTACCCAGCCTTTCTCCCCTCTGTTTGAACCGCCTGATCAGGTCACGTGAGTGGGGTTTTTTTTAAAGAAAAGGAGCTCTTTAAAAAAAAAAAAGGAACCACCTTCCTTATCATATGACTTTTTTCCCCCCGCCTTTTCCGCCCCCGCGTCGCGCGCTTGAGTACTTGAGAGAGGCGGAGCCTCACCCTCGGCGACCGAGGGAGGGGCTGATTTGCCTTCTACGACAGCCAATAGAATGGGCCCTTTCATTTGCAAAGGAAAATGGCAGTTTCTGTTGCGGTCCTTACCAGCCCTGGCGCAGGCTCCTCCTACTTCTCCCCTCGAGCAACGGGTGTCGTGTGTTTGTTGGTTGTTATGGTTACGAAGTCTTGCTTTTTGCCCAGCTCTGTTTCCTTGCGTCGCGCTGTCTCTATGACATTCAGTGTGCCCAAATTTACAAAATATCACATTTTATTTTATTACTATCAGTTTTGCCCTGGCGTTGTCCGTTATCGCACCTCTTTTAAGTTACAGAGCCATCTCAATCATCTTAAATGGCATGGTTTGGCAAGTCCCAATTTTTTTAAAAAAGGTGGATGATGATGATGGGGCAGGTGGGAATGAGATAACAAATTGTTTCCGATAGCTGGAGGCTTACAATTTATAATTATTGTAAACCTTCTGTTGGACTAATAAAGATACAGCCTTAACATCAATTTTAGTTAATTTGGCAATAGATGGATGCCCTATGTAGTGCCCCAAAGCTGCTGGTTAACCATTTCCAGCTGTTGGTTACATAAAATTAAACAATTGTGGTACCAGTAATCTTAATTCATATAAAAATATGAAAACAGTTTTCATAATTATTTTTGTGAATATTCCTTTTCAAAACCAAGTTTTACTTATTTCATATTTGCAAATTTCTGGTTTTTCTTTGAAGATGTTTTGCTTCTCATCCAAGAAGCTTCTTCAGCTTCTTCAGCTCTAAGAAGCGAAATGTTTTCACAGAAAAACCAGAAAGTCCAGTTGCCTCTTGAAAAAGCATCTTTGGGACAACCATGACCTGGATGACTGAGAATCTCCAAAGACACTTGCTAAATTACATACAATACTTTGCTGTACTGGACAATTACTTGATAACAATAGCAAACCCAAACAGATTACATTGTGGTTTAAAACATTATATTCTTATATAATACTATGAAATAATGGCTGGGCTCATACAATTCATAGTTACCCATACTTAACTATGATGTTTCTACTTAAGCAATTTTTCTGCATTTGCATGACACAGCTATAAACTAGCCAACCTGCATTTGCAGAAAATATTAAACATGATAGTTAATATGATTTAGCATGTCACATGAATACAACCATTTGGTTTGGCTTTGTCTAAAGCCCCATTCTTGCAGTAAGTTATTACAGATTTCCTGTGAATTATCTTGCAGACAGCTGCTGTCTCTTCCAGCAAAGCAATTTTCTTTCTTCCTTTTTGAAAGGCAGCTTCTTAAGAGTTATTTTGCTCTAATTGAAAATCTAATTGAAAATCTGCAAAATGAGTATGGGTAGTCCTTGACTTAACAATTGGTGAGTCAGTGACTGTACCAGAACAGGTACTTTAAGGCCCATAAAGTGCTTTCTGCAAATACAAAATGTGCCAGCCCTCCTCCCACACTCACCCCATGACATAATTGACCTACCAATTAACCTGCTGGAGTCACATTTAAAAGCCATATGCATTGAGAAGTTCTCTAATGTATTTTACATGATGCCGTTAGATGTACAAGTTAGATAAAAAACATTCAATTGTTAAAAAGTGGAAATAGGCAAGATAAAACTATAAGTGTTCCATAGAATTGTGCCTCTGTCTATCCATCCATCCATTAAAATCCTCATTCCTGTAACCTCTCTCTTAGGCCCAGTACTCTTCAATATCTTCATAAATGACTTAGATGAGGGAATAGAAGGAGAATTTACCAAATTTGCAGATGATACTAAATTGGCAGGAACAGCTAACACCCTAGAAGATAGGCTCAAGATCCAGATAGAGCTTGATAGACTTCAGCACTGGGTCCTATCTAACAAAATGAAATTCAACATAGAGAAAAGTAAAGTCTTACACTTAGGCAAGAAAAACCTAAAATACACATATAGACTGGATGAAACCAGGTTTAATAGCAGTAACTGTGAGAGGGATCTTGGAGTCTTAGTGGACAACCAGTTAAATATGAGCCAGCAGTGTGTGGTGGCAGCCAAAAAAGCCAAGGCAATCCTAAATTGCATTAACGGGGATAGAATCAAGATCAAGTGAGGTACTAATACCATTCTATAAAGCCTTAGTAATACCACATCTAGAATACTGCATCCAGTTTTGGTCACTACACTATAAAAATATGTTGAGACTCTAGAAAAAGTGCAGAGAAGAGCAACCAGGATGATTAGGGGACTGGAGACTAAAACATACGAAGAACGGTTACAGGAACTGGGCATGGCTAGTATAGTGAAGAGAAGGACCAGGGGAGACATATTTCCAATATTTGAGGGGCTGAGAGGAATATTTGAGAGGAAGGGGTCAAGCCAGGGGTGAAATGCTCCCAGTTCGGACCGGATCGCCTGATCTGGTAGCGATGGAGGCAGGTGGTTTGGAGAATTGGTAGCAAAAATCCCTGCCCCCACGCCCCATGCCCAACTGAGCCGCACAATCATCAGAGGCTTTTTTTTTACTTTTAAAAATATTTTTTCTACAATTTTTTCTTTGGCCAAAAAATGCTTTTAAAAGTAAAAAAAAAAGCCTCTGATGATCGTGCGGCTCAGCTGGGATCAGCAAAGGCTTTTAAAAGAAAAAAAACATTTTTTTCTTGTAAATGCCTCTGATGATCCAAGCTGAGTTGGTTGGCAAGTTCACCAAGTTCTAGCTGGCGCATTGAGTACCAAACAAACTTATCAGTACCAGAATAAAACTTTCACATCAAAATGTGCTGAATACCAAATTTGGTGAGTTTCAAAGCAGTTGAGTATCAAGGTACCACTGGACTATAACATATTTTATAACATAAAAATTATCACAAAGCAGTTTGTGACATTACAAAATATCATGAATTATTTCCTGTGTTGATGTTTGGCTGTACTATTCAGTTCAACATAGGCTACTTTCAAGGCAGATGCCTCTTTGTATATCTGCCTGAATTTTTAAGCACTTTTCAAGTACATTAGCCTCTGCCATTGATGAAGGATTGAGGGTAAGGAAATAACTCTGAAATGATGAATCTTAAGCCACATTTTCTAGTCCACTGTAGCCTTTTCCTGCCACTCAATCTAAAACCCAAAGATAAAGTCTTCCACCATTCGTTCACTTGCGGGGTATGATTTGTGCTAGTTAGGAAATACATTGTATTTATTCTGTTCCCATGTTATCTGTACATACATTTATTGATTTAATAATTCACAAGAAGATTCTTTAGGGATCAATGTCCATTTTCATTGGCAAGACTGTAATCTTGATTTCATCCAAATGTAGATCCTGTGCTCAACAGTACAAATACTGGCATAAATAAATTTCTATTTCAACTTACTGTATGGAGAGCTTTGTGTCTAACTAGAATTTGCTTGAAGGCAGGCAAACTAAATCTCCTGCACCTATGCTGCTCCTGAATTATTTCTTCCAGGATATTGTATAATTTCAATTGTCCAAGAGAAAGGAATCCAGGATAGATAAAAATAAAATGAGATTCCTACAGAACTCCTTTAAGTGTTTGGGTTCTTAGAGTATTCACTGTGGTTTATGATTAAATTATGTAAATTATGTATTAAAAAGTTTTAAAAAATGCTAAGTAAAAAAAAGAAAAAAACATTATCAGTGTGAATATTGATGAGAAAAAAAGTAGGAAAGTCTTTTTGGCTTGGATTACATACAATTTTGGAATGTTATTTCAACGTGTTATTAGAAGCTGTTCATAAATTAAAACATTGTGTTTTCTACATGCAGTGTATGATTTACCCTTCTTTTAAAATGTCAGCTGTTTTATTGAAGAGCACAATACCAATCTCTACGTGCATGTTTTTAGCATAAGCAAATTTTCTTCCAAATTGGTATTCTCCCTATGCCTTATTGGATGCCAGAACCTGATCAGCGCTATTGAAAAGCTAAAGATGGTCAGCTGATTAGCACTTCTGTGAGAATCTACTAGAAAATATCGGGATTCAGTGACTAAACTGGAAAAAAGTCAACATAATAGTAATACTTTGATAGAGTTGTCAAAAAAACCACAAGTGTATACCCTTGAAGTTACTGGAATTTCAGTTCTACACAATGAGATTTGATATATTGTATTCTTCAGTTGTGTTGGACTCCAAATCACCATGCTTGGGGATTATGAGAAATTCAAAGTAACAGCACCTAAGTGGAATACGCATCTGTTTATCCAACACAGCAGATCTTTTCTAATTGATGTGATTATACTTAGGAAACCTGGTTGCTAATAGCATGGAAAGTTAAGAAAATGTAACATTGGGATTGTATTGCTTTGGTTTTCATATTATTTATAATTGGTTAAACAGCTAAACAAGACTGGATTTGGCATTTTTGTCCACCTACAGAGTCCTTCCCAAGGATAGGCAGATGTTGTGTAATAATACCGTTTTCCCCAAAATAAAACATCCCGATAAGCCCAATTGGGCTTTTGAACGCATGATAAGGCCAAGCACTTACTTCAGGGTTCAAAAAAATATAAAACATGGTCTTATTTTCAGGGAAACACAATATTAAAATATTGTCACAGGATGTAAGCTATTCCAGGTAAAGCTGCTTTTTCCAATTGACTGGTGATTTTGTGAATGTAGATATTCAAGTGGTTTTGGAATTACAACCGAAGTATCTCTTATGAGCTGTGGTGGCGCAGTGGTTAGAATGCAGTACAGCAGGCTACTTCTGCTGACTCTCTGCTGCCAGCAGTTCAATCCTGAACAGCTCAAGGTTGACTCATTCTTCCATCTTTCCAAGGTCAGTAAAATGAGGACCCAGATTGTTGGGGGCAAGAGGCTGAGTCTGTAAACTGCTTAGAGAGAACTGTGAAGCAGTATGTAAGTCTTATTGCTATTGCTATTACTATTGATCATATCTTTGCTTACTTTTATCATTCTATTTTTACTTACAAGACTTTATATTTTGGGATATGCTCCAGTTCTTTCTCTTCCGTTCTGCAGTCTTTGTATTATTATGGTTGGTTGAAGTCAGTTAGATATTTAGACTCCGTTTGGCATTTTTATCCACCTATCAAATCCTTCCCAAGAACCTGGGATAGGCAAATATTGTTGTTATGGTGTTAATATTTATTGAAGTAGAATGATTAAGAACATAGTATTCTCTTAATATCCATCATTATTCCTCTACAAAGTTTGTCTGCAAGCAACAGGACCAGTAACAAAATTAAATTTTATTACATATTCCAAATTTTAAGTACAGGAGATAAAAGAATAAAGTGAAAAGTGTCCTGTGTTTATTTTCTCCACAAATTAAACTTCCATTTCCCACTGCGATATCAGACTCAGTGAAAATTAAACCAAGGAAAGTATTGAGTCACTCAAGAGTGGGTAAATATCAAAATATCACACTGTGGGTAAATAGCAAATATCACACTGAATACAGGTGAGTCACTTAGAGTAGGTAAATATCAAAAAATAATAAAAATAATAATCAAGTCTAAACATGGATTCTTTGGAAATGCAAGGATGCTAGTTCCACACTTCAATAACATCACCAGATTCCATCCCCAGTTGTTCAGGGGTCTGAGTTTCTGCCAAACGCTGCCCATCATAATAAAAGACAAGTTTGCCTCTGCCTTGGCCTTGAGCTTGTTTGTAGTTGTTCATAAGGGCTTCTAAGGGCTCCCCCTGCAAAAAGGAGAACATAATTACAATACCGTAATGCTTCCTCACAGAAGAAAACCTACAATCCACACCTTATTACCTTTACCTTCTGGATTGTAATCTCCATCACAGAACTTCTGTCTTTTCCTTGTACTCGAAGCAACAGGTTTCCAGAATCATCACCCGGTTGGTTATTGGTCTCCACTATACAATCTGGAAGTTGTCCAACAGAGAATGTTTATTCTACTTTTTCTCCGAGTTCAAAAGAGCAAAATAATGATTTACCCCAATATTATCCTCACCAACTGCCTCATAAAGGTACAGCTGGGCCACTATAATTAAGATATGTGGCTGAACGGAGGATTAGAATTTAGTATCTCCCAAACCTTGCAGTAGTTCTAAGTTTGAAAACAAACAAACAAACAAACAGGTTTAGATAATATAGCAGGAAGTACACAAGAAAATAGTTGTAAAATACTGGACAATACAGAAGTTTAATTCATTTGGGAGGCAAAAGGTTTGAGGAATTTAAAACAGTCAATGAGACTGGAAGCAATGACAATCTGAAGTAAAAAAAAAAAAAGTCCCCAAATTATTCACCGATGATGGAAGCAACACCAAGGTCCAATTTAGCAGGAGTAGAATCAGGTGAAAGTTCACTATCATGATGCAAGAGGATGATTCTCTTTGGATGAACCTTCAGTATCTCTGACATGTGGTCAACCACTCGCCGAAGAGGCTCTGTCTACAGAAGGTGAAGTTAAGTAACTGTGTTAGAGGACAAGGTAAATGGATTCTCTCTGCCCTTAACCATGGCTAAAAGACTGATATTACAGCATTGGGACAATATATGGCACCAGACACTCAGTGCATCAAAGACCTGATAACACTAGCCCTTTATGAATATATTTGCATTAGATACATAGAATTGAAATTGTTTATTTTGTAACAATATGATATATATTATTTCCTTTTTTGTTGTTTTTAAAGCACTTTTTTTTAAAAAAATTGATTTATATGCCACCCTTGTCCGGAGACACAGGGCGGCTTACAATGTGTTAAGCAATAGCCTTCATACTTTCGTATATTTTTACAAATTCAGTTTATTGCCCCCACAAACTGGGTCCTCAATTTACCTACCTTAGAAAGGATGGAAGGCTGAGTCAACCTTGAGCCTGGCAAGATTCGAACTTACTAATTGCAGACAGCTGGAGTTAAATTACAATGCATTAGTCTGCTGAGCTATCAAAAGTGCTTGTTATGCACTTTTTTGTTTGATAATGTATTTCTATCACCATTATCTTTGTTTTGTTCCTTTTGTCTTCTGTTGTTTTAAAAACAATAATAAATAAAAGTAGCTATAAGAGAGTAAGAATAGGATATAATAGGGTCTTGAGAAGGATGTCAGGTTCTCCTCAGTGACAATACTTCCCAATTCAAAAACTGTTGCCCATCGTTTTGCCTAGATGAAGGTTATGGGTATGAGAATTTTAGATGTGGCTTTATAAGTAAAGCAAACAAAAAGTTGTGGCAGTTTGGGAAACATTTTAAGCTGAGATACACGTCAATTTTATTTCACTCAAGTTAGTCCTTCAATTTTTGGCAAACAAAAAAACTTCAAGGGGCTATAGAACGATTTCAGGAATTGCAAATTGCCCACTCCTGATTTAATGTGACATGTGAATTCAGTACTATTCTGAGGCAGGCATGTTTTTCACCAATTATATTTTGAACCCTCCTAAGCCCACATTCTCTTTTAAAAATATATATAATTTTTGTTACATTGTTACAGGATGTAAATTAATAGTATGGTTGTTGGAATTCACATATAATAATGGATTTATGCAGGATTGTATATGAAGGTCCACCTATTAGTTAGGGAATATCTAATAGTGAAAAATAAGCTTCCAAAACCCAAGGTGGCTGCTTCTGCATTGAAGCTCATTAAAAAAAAGTCTCTATTGCAGATGTTAGGACTGAATCCTAGACAAGTGCAAGGAAAAGAAAAAGAGAAAAGCCCACATTATGACAGCAAAGGGAAGTGAATAGGGATAAGATAACAAATACCAAAGCCTCACACCATTAGAATACAGATTTTGTAGAGATCAGCTCGGCATCGGACTTTCAGCAACAGCTCCTGGGGTTCAAACGCATCAACCAGAATTACATCATCCTCATCAAACAATTGATCCTGCAAGCTCCTCTTAGCAGCTGAGAGGGAGTTGCTCAAATTTTTGAGATTCTGATCAAACATTCTGCCAAGAAAGCAAAGAAAAATTTGAGTGAGAAATCCATATGCTGGGGTTTGCCTTGGGATGCTCTTATTTAGAGGTATGTTGTATTCAGTCTGAAGCAGGCAAGGGTACTTGGGATCTGTTATGGAAACCCTTTCTGTATCTGACAGCACCTTAAGGAAGTAGCACTTTATGTTGACATAATCATAACAGATTCAAGAAAATACAGGTTGTCCCTGACTTACAACAGTTCATTTAGTGACCATTTAAAGTTACAAAGGCACTGAAAAAAAGGAACTTACGACTGTCTTTCATGGTTACAACTTTGCAGCATCCCCGTGATCATGTGATCAAAATTCAGGTGCTTGGCAACTGGCTTCATTTATGACAGTTGCAATGCCCTGTGGTCATGTAATCCCCTTTTGCGACCTTCTGACAAGCAAAGACAATGGGAAAGCCATTTTCCTTTAACAATCGTGTTAATAACTTAACAGGTGCAGTGATTCACTTAACAACTGTGGCAAGAAAGGTTGTAAAATGGGGCAAAATTCACTTAATAAATGTTTCACTTAGCAACAGAAATTTTGGGCTCAATTGTGGTTGTAAGTTGAGGACTACTTGTAAGCATTGTAGTCATTAATTTCATCCTCCATAAGGTGTTATGAAGATGTTGCCACCTTCATAAGGCCTCCTGAAATTAAGAATGATCTGCACAGATACTATATAAGCCACCCTTCTTCATAAAATTTCTGGCATGGAAAAGACAAGGTGCCTGATCCAAGAGACAATGAACCACAACAGTCTCTCCCAATTTAATTTCTCTAAACTTTTGGAACACAATTCCCATACTTGCCCCTACTCCCCAAGTGCAACATATACGGAAGAATTGGAAATGGGAAGATTAGCACAGACAGACCCATTTCAAATATTTGTCTTGGAGCCCTTAGTGAATTAATTTGTTTCCTTCATACCTTCTTTGTTAAATATGAACCAGTTTAGCCTTTTTTATAAGGCTGCTCTAAAAATACTGTCTAAAGGTAGAGACGAAATGGTATATAGGTAGTCCTTGACTTACAACCACAATTTCCCTTATTAAGGTAGCTGTTAAATGAATGACATCCAATTAATCAAATCACTCTACTTATTAAGTGAATCAGGTGGTCATTAAGCAAATCCAGCTTCCCCCATTGATTCTGCTTGTTGGAAGTCAGCTGGAAAAGTCGCAAACGGCAATGATGTCACCTGGGACACCGCAACCATCACAAATACATCCTGGTTGCCAAGCACTCAATTTTTGATCACATGACTGTGGGGATGTTGTGACTTGTGTGAGCAAAGATTGTTAAGTCAAGTTTTTTCAGTGCTGTCAAATAGTCATTAATTGAATGGTTGTGAGTCTAGAACTATCTGTAACTCCTAATCTAAGCTTGAGAGCCTAAGAGCTCAAAGTATTAACCAAATTGGGATACAACACAAAAATACACAAAGAACAGCTTGTCGTGGTCCAGCCTTATCAGTTATATCAGCCAATTGACTGAAATCCTGCACGTACCTGTATTATAAATTTAGGACATAACTGTCTCTCCAACCCTGTATAACTATTACTTTCAGCACAATATTGCTGTGCTCATGCTGACTTTTAATCAGTGCCAAAGGAGATTATGATATCAGCAGAAATAGATCAGCAAAATTTTTACTGGACTTGATATGCTACATTCAGATAACAAACTTAATCAAAATGTGCTTACTATCATCTGCCAACTTTCTTCCTATGCACATTAAATAATTGCTATCTGCAGCACCCTAATTTGACATGCCGTATGGTTTCAAACTGATGCGAAGGCTCCTGCTAGCTGGAGCAAGGTAGGGAAAGAAACCAATTTAAATCAATTATGCCCCGGAGACCCCAATCCTTCCTAAAGATTTTGTTCCTCCACTCTTATCGATCCACTACACTTCCACCTCATTTCCAGAAATACCAATTTCTTATTGGGCTTTGACACGATCCTTCTCTTGCTGTGGAGGAGGTGAAGGAGAACATGAAAGGTCTTGACATCTGCCAAAAGGAGAACAGACAAAGTAATGGTTTAAATTCAGCTTTTCTGGAAAGTCGGGCAGAAGAGAACTGAAACCTTGGTTTTGACTTCAATTGCTTTAAAGGAACTGGCTTTTCCTCATCCTCATCTTCTTCTGAGCTATAGGCCAACTTATTGTTACAACGCGCTTTGATTTTATCAGGAAGTTTCAGAGGATTTTTTAAGAATCGCAGGCTGTTCTCAACCTGCAGATAAGAAACAAAAGGGGTGGGGGGGAGAATTTATCAGGTTACTAGAAAGAGAAAACGGAATTTATCACTCAATATGTACAAGTCAGTGATACTAATATATCTAGATGAATGATCCATCACATAAAAGTGGGATGCTATGGTTCTTTGCTTCTCTTAACAAAGGGTACTAATGACAATAAGGAGCAAATGTGACAATAATTGAAGGTAACCAAGGTAAGTTTGAGGGCAACATTAATTAAGAGTGCACTATATAGAATTACAATGTCCTTCTCTTTACAAAACATTCAGAAGTCTTTAAAAATATTTTGAATAATCACCAACTCTTTTCTTTTAAAAAAAGAAACAGAAAAAAAAATGCACCCATGAACACTATAGCACTTTTTCTGTTATCTGGACATCATGTTTCTAACAGAACCTAAGACTTTAATATTTGTAGTTACTACATCTCTCTGCTAGCTCATATCCAGCTCATGATTCACTAACATCCTTTTTACATACAGTATATATCAAATTAGGTCTATAGATAATTCTCGATATGATCAAACACCAAAGTTACAATGGCTTGAAAAGAGTGCTTTACAGGACCTAAAGCAGTTCTGGCTGTTGTAAAATGTTGCACACATGCAAACCCCACAATTACATGATCACGATCTGGGTGCTTGGCAACCTATTTGCACTTACAATTGGTTGCCAAGATCCCCATAATATGTGATTGCCATTTGAAGTAATCTCTGCTGGCTTCCCCAGAAAGTCAATGGGGAAAATGATAGGGAAGTTTGGAAGCTGCTGCCACTGAGCTGAAATTCTCTCTGGACCAGCAATTCATTCAGAGTGACAGGTCTACCTGCCAAGAGGGAATCTCAGCCAGGAGGGAATCCCACCTCCATGTGCACCTGAACTCTTCCTGCACCCCATCAGAGTTTCCTTTGCAGGCAGTTCTTTTACTCCATCTGCTTAATAACCCACATAGTTGCTTAAGAACTGCAAATAGGAAACCCAGGATTGTTGAGTGATCACATGGGCAACTCACTTAACAACTGCTTTGCTCAATGACCAAGACTCTAGTCCCAACTGTGGTTTTAAGTAAAATTTCATCATCTTAATCTGCATACGTTGTGTCTGACCAATTCTCTAATAAGGCAGCAGCAGCTAGAAAAACTTTGCTTATCTTAGGTACTCCGTAGTTAAAGAAAGGTTGGAAAGCAGGAGAACAAGAGTTCTTGTCGTGACTCAAGTAACAAAGCTAGCCACTTTGGGCTAGTTACACCCTCTCAGCCATAGTAAGAGGGCAATGGCAAACTACTCCTAAAAAATATTTCCAAGAAAACTGCAGGAACTAGTCCAGGCAGTCACCTGGAATCAATATTGACAGAAATCTCATGGCGCTAGAGTAGACAGCAGAGAAGGGAGAAAAACCCTCAGAAGGCAGCAGTGGCAAGTAATTTATATACTGTTGCCAAAAACAGTACATAGATATGACCATCAAGTAGCAGGTTGGTCTCACATGATGCAAGTTACATGCGAGATGGATTCTTCTGTCAGTTTTGCAAAGAGTAAACAAAAACTTGGCAAATGATAATTACAACATTCTTTTTCCCAATAGTATAAGGCAGGGGTCTGCAATCTTGGCAACTTTACGAGTTGTGGACTTCAACTTCCAGAATTCCTCAGCCAGTATGTGCTGGCTGAGGAATTCTGGGAGTTGAAGTCCACAGCTCGTAAAGTTGCCAAGGTTGCAGACCCATGGTATAAAGGGACAGCATAAAAAACTGAGGAAAACTGGAAAACACCCAATACTGGGGGCTGTACAATAGTGTCATTAAATTAAGCTCTCTCTCTCTTGTCCCTGCAAGCAACACCAGTATGTTTGCAAGCTAAAGAAACCTTTTCATTGACTTATTTAATAAGGAGATGAGGCACATTTCTTCCATACAGAACAAGCAGCAGCAGAGGCTAACAATCTCATTTTTAGATATAGTCACGTCTTTGAGTTAGTGTTGATTATCTGTGATTGCCCATACACATCCCTATACACATTTTTCGCAAGCTTTTCGAGATTTCATACCTGAACCAGGATTAGAGTCTGATTTCTAGTCCAATGCCTTTAAACCAGGGGTCACCAACCTTTCGGATCTCAGGGACCACTAAATTCATAATTTTAAATCCTGCAGACCACTAATATGAATTTTTTAAAAAGATAAATAGTATTTAGTGCAATATAAAAATGCAAATAATTTTTTTGCGGACCATCAAAATTTTCTCGCAGACCACCAGAGGTCCGTGGACCACAGGTTAGTGACCACTGCTTTAAACCACTGCACCGAACTGGCTCTCAGCCGCATTATACAGATTTATATTAATTACAATACATATAATACAGCATAAAAATTGGATACAACAGCAGCATACAGCAATTTATGTACTTGTGATAAAGGAAATGAGGGCACAGCAAAAAAACAAAACAAAACAGATCCCTAAGTTAGGGAAAGTCTGTTCTTTGAATAAGAATGAAAGTCATTATTATTATTATTATTATTATACCTTCATTATCTCCCTGCAGCCCTTGTTACCCAGCAGTTCCTAATCACATGTTTTGCAAATGAAATGTTTTAGGCTTCACCTGACAATTTTATCTCCTCCCCCTGAGAAACTGGATTTGAGAAGGGGATAATTTACTTAACTACAGGTGGTCTTCAATTCACAACCACAACTGAGCCCCAGATATTTGTTAGTGAGACATTTGTGTTAAGCGCGTGAGGTCGGCCAAAATAAAGTAACGGAGAACTTTTTTGGGGGGGGGGAGGGGGACGGACGGACGGGGAAAGCCACGATGTCGCGCACCCCTTAAAAGTCACCCCGCCAGCACATACCTGGGTCGAATAGACCGGGACGGAGGTGCTGGTGGTGAGAAGGCGGCGCCGCTTGGGTAAGGGCTTCTTGGGGGCCCCTTCTGGCTCCGAGTCGCTGCTTAGGGTCACATTCACCTGTTGGGGAGGGGCGAGAAAAGCCGTAGGTCCATCCCCCGCAAGCCGAGATTCCATCCCGCTTCCTCCCTCAATTCCCACCGTCCCTTCCCGCCCGGCTTCTGTTTACCGACTCCGCCATCGCTGGACAAGACACGTTTCTATTGGTTTCGCTATCCGCGTCGTTCCGCCTCCGAAGCTCCGATTGGGTTTCACCCGAAGCTCTTTGTTTCTTCACTGCGCCGAGAAATTATCTATGGAGATTCTCTTATGGTTGGTCCCAAAGGTGTTGGTTCTTCCTCTTCTTCTTTTCTTTCGCTTCACCTCCGGAGCGGAAGAAGCTCCTGAAAAAGCACTTTTGGTACCTCCGAAGAAAGTTCGAGCGAGCCCAGCGTTAACGAAAGAAGCGTTCCCTTCCGCAGCGCTAAGCAGTCTGGGGACGGCAGTGGGTTTGTTTTGCTTTTTACGGCGAAACGGCTCCTATAATTCATTTTCCGGGGCGGGTCGAGAAGAGGAATGTGGGATTGTCCGCTCTCTTGAGGGACGCCTCTTTTTTCCGACGCAGTAAACTTCTGGAATAAGCAAATACGTATTTTGCACCATCTTAATCCTTGCAGCGAATCGTCCATTTTGGAGGTTTTAATTGCTACCACATGCACCCTCCCCCCCCCCAAGGGGCCCTTAACCAGCCAGGATGGGCATGGATCCAGAACACAAATGGATGAACTCACAGCTCACCAAAGGGCCTTTCCACTTCCTCAAGCTCAACTCCCACATAACAAGGCTCAGATGTGTCTCCCTGCCAAGCCAGAGTCCAGCTTCCAGCAAAATCTAGTGGTTTTTATCTGACAGATGCCGAGAATATTCTTCACACAGCGACCTTGGAAGATCCTCCTTACCCCAGGAGAGATCTGATTATCAGAAACAGGGCCCCCAGTTGGCTACCTTGCAGATAAATAAGAGCAATGAAGTCATTATGCTTCAGCGGTGTTATCCACACAAAGTAAACACTAATACAGGATGAACTGTCTTTGAATATTAGTAGCTCAGGTGGGTTGGTAGTTACCTTGTTGGTTTGAGCTCCGAGCTTGGCAATTTGGTTGCAAATGTTTCATCCCCATTCATGGAGACATTTTCAGTGCGCTTTGGATTGTGCTTGTCTGGAGGAGCACTGGCCTTTAAAAAAAATTGGCTTTTTTTTTAATGGCCAATGCACAATCCAGACATAACTAATACAGGTTTTTTTACCTGTGTGGGGTCAGCCTCGCATTTTTATCTTCCTCAAGCAGTGCTATAGGCACCTCGTGTTAGAATGATAGAGGTGCCTGCTATACTTTATCTGTCTCCATTGGAAGTTAAAAGGTCTCTGATCTGCTCCACATTTCTTTTAGCAGCCTTCTGATCTGCCGATCAGCATTCAATCCTAGCATTTAAGACTAGGATCCCACATCAAAGAAAAGGAATTCCCTCAGGATAAGGAAAATGCCAGGTGAAGGAAGGGAGCTACGTATCTGAGGGCAATCTTTCTTTTCAGATTTTATGCACTTTAGGATCAAGGCAGGAGCATCCCAAACAGCATAGGAAGGACTCATTAAACTCGCATGTATACAACCACCCCTGAATTCTCACCAAGAGTTAGGGTTATGGAAGAATGTCTGATCTTGATTATTAAATAATTCAGACCCTTGTGTGCAATTCATCTGGTCCTGGTGATTTGAACTCGTCTAGGGTGGGAAGTTGCTCACTTACCATTTTTTGCCTATTTAATCTATTTTTTACAGTACTGTTTTTGATAGGTTGGACTGTTTTTGTGTAAAGATGGATGCAAAAAATGAGTTAAGTAATTCTGCTTTCTCCCTGTTGCTTGTCATCTTCTTGCCACTTTCTCCTATTAATGGACCAATCATTTCCTTGACTTTTCTCTTGTTTTTTACATGTTGAAAGAACCTTTTTAAAAATTATTTTTCACTTAAATATGAGCCAACAGTGTGCTGCAGCTGCCAAAAAGCCAACACAGTTCTAGGCTGCATTTACAGAGGGATGGAATCGAGATCACATGACGTGTTAATACCGTAACATTTTATAATGCCTTAGTAAGGTCACACTTGGAATACTGCATCCGGTTTTGGTTGCCACGAGGTAAAAAATATGTTGAGACTCTACAACGGGGGTGTCAAACTGGCAGCCTGCGGGCCGGATGCCGCAGGCTTCACGAAGGCAAAAAAGTCGTGATACGGCACATGACATGATGCAATCGAGTTTGACACCCGTGCTCTAGAAGGAGTGAAGAGAAGAGCAATAAAGATGATTAGGGGACTGGAGGTAAAACATAAAGAACAATTGCTGGAATTTGGTATGTCTAGTTTGATGAAAAGAAGGACTAGGGGTGACATGATAGCAGTGTTCCAATATCTCAGGGGTTGCCATAAAGAAGAGGGAGTCAAGCTATTCTCAAAAGCTCTTGAAGGCAGGACAAGATAGGCAATGGATGGAAACTAATCAAGGAGAGAGACAACCTAGAACTAAGGAGAAATTTCCTGACAGTTACAACAATTATTCAGTGGAATGACTTGCCTCCAAAAGTTGTGGGGATTCTAACACTGGAAGTTTTAAAGAAGAAATTGGACAATCATTTGTCTGAAATGGTGTTAGGATTCTGCCTGACCAGAGAGTTTGATTACAAGACTTGCAAGGTCCCAACTCCTATTCTATAAAACCAAATCTCTGCGCTCCATTTTTCTCTACAGTCTATTCTTTTTGTTCTTGAGAATAAAATGTTTTCCACACTATGTCTGCATTTCATTTTCTTTTATTTGTTCTTGCTTCACTCTGGCTTGTGGAAACTCCAAATTACAGATAGTGCTTGTCTTATGACCACAATTCAGTCCAAAATTTCTGTTGCTGAGCAAGACAGTCATTAAGTTAATTTTGCCCCACTTTATGACCTTTCATGCTATGATTGCTAAGTGAATCACTGCAGTTGTTAAATTGTTAAATTTGGTTTCCCCATTGACGTCATATGGTCATAAAAGGTGATCATATGTCTCTGAGATACCACAAATGTCAAAAATGTGCCAAGCTTCTGAATTTTGATCACCTGTCCAGAGGGATGCTAAAATGGTTGCAAGAGTGAAAAATGGTTGTAACTTACTTTTTTCAGTGCCATTGTAACTTCAAATGGTCACTAAATGAACTGTTGTAAGTTGTGGACTACTTGTGGTCTTGCAATATAACTATCACATTTTTAAACTGCCCATTTCCTCCACAGAGGGAGTCTGGGTAGTGTGTATTAAAATATAAAAATATAAAAACAATACATAAAAGGTAAAAAAAATTAAAAGGCCAAGGATACTTAAAAGCTATTAGAAATTAATTGAAGGGCAAAGGAAGGGTTGTCAAGGAAACGACCAGTCCCATGGCTATGACCTCGTCTGAGCTGCCCACGCAAAGCTGCAGAGCCATGTTTTCATTCCTTTTCAGAAAGCCAAGAGGGTAGAGGCCTGGCTCATGTCCAAGGGGGAGAAGATTACACAGGGTAGGAACAGAGGCAAAGAAGGCTGTCCACCTGGAGCCTGCCAATCAAAATGCAGGTAGTCCTCGACTTAACGACCAGAGTTGAGCCCAAAATTTCTATGTGAGATATTTGTTAAATGAGTTCCCATTTTACGGCCTTTCTTGCCACAGTTGTTAAGGGAATGGGAGGTTACATCAGGTCAGGGTCATTGGGAAGTGAACTGCTGTGGGGGGGGGGGGCTTGCATGGGTTGGTTGAGGGTTGGTGCTGTGTCTGGTTGATTATGTGGTTGATTTGGATTCTGAGGGGTTCGTAGGCTGGTTATAGCTCAAAGTGTTTGTGGATGGAACTGCTTGTGGAATCCCAGGCTTGGATGAATTCACCAGCCTGGCATGGTGGGTGGTAGTGTGGCTGATGATTTTTGTGTTGCTCCAAATGATGCTGTTTGGTGTCAGTATGAGTAGAAATTAGGGATTTGGGATCGTGGCGTTTGATTGCCAGCTGGTCTTCGTTCATCCTGTTTTTTAATTGACATGTTTTTCCCACGTAGAATTGGTTGCAATGGTTAAAGTTGATTTTGTAAATTACATTGTTTCTTTCATCCTTCTGTATCTTGTTTATGGCTCTGAATAATTCCTGACCAAGTGTGGCTGTGGGTTTGTGGGCTATTCCTATTCCTAGGGGCTGGAGAACTCTGGCTGTCATTTCCGATACCCCTTTTGTGTATGGTAGGATTAGTTTTTGTGTGGTGATTGGCTGTGTGGTGTGTTGTGATTTGGGTGCTGTATGTTGGAGTGTGAAGTTTTTTGGATAGCCATTATGGCGAAAGACATCAAGCACCTGTTTATCTTCTGCTTTTCTTAGTGTTGTGGTGCTGCAGTGTGTTCCGGCCCTTTTGAAGAGGGTTTGGACGTAGCTTCCTTTGTGTGCCTTGGGGTGGTTGCTTGCGAAGCTGAAAATCTGGTCTAGATGCATGGGTGGTAGATGCGGGTTTCCAGTTCTCCATTGTTTAATCTCCTTATGTCGATGTTGAGGAATGGGAGTCTATTTCCTCTTCGCATGTGAATTTGATCCCAGGGAATATGTTATGGAGTAGGTTGTGTGTTTCTTCAATTTGGGACCATTTGATGATGACGAAGGTGTCATCGATGTAGCGAGTCCAGAATTTTGGGTGGATGGTGGGTGGAGCAACACAAAAATCACTGGGCATGTGAATGGGTGTGAATGCCATCGAAACCTGGCATTCCACAAGCAATTTCATCAACAGACACATGGATATATAATCAGCCTATGAACCCTTCAGAATTCAAATCAACCACACAGCCAACCAGACAGCACCGACCCTCAACCAACCCATGCAAGCCCCTCCACCCCACCTGCAGGTCACCTCCCAATGATTCTGACCTGATGTAACTTCCCCATCACAAGACTCTCACTGATGACTCAGACCTGACCCATCACAAGACCCTCACTTGACACACTCACACCTGAAGCCCTTATAAACAGAAGAACACTGACACTCACATCCCCTAAACTCCACTGAAGATGTCACCTAGCCTGGTAACAAAATGTTCAGAAACCCAACACACAAGCTGGGACAATTCAACCTTCAACCCTCATCTTCGTATTTTGTTATCTTTTCAGTTCTTCTTCTTCTACCCTATTGTCTGCAGTACTGCCACAGCCACTATCCAGACTTTTTTGTCTATGTTATACACAATTGTTAAGTCTGGTTTGTTATGTAGTACGTGCCTTTCTATTTGAATTCTGAAGTCCTAAAGTACTTTAAGTTTTTCATTTTCTATTACTCTCTACTTTATGGTTCCACCAGTTCTTGCTTGCAGGCAGATGTTTTTTCTTGCAGATATTCCAATGCGCCATTATTGCTCCTCTTTCATGCTGTTGCTTGTAGCCAGTCTGGACAATTTTCTTGCAGCGGCTAATCAGGTGGGCCACTGTTTCTTTAACTTTTTTGTTCAGCTTCTTCATCTTTTATCCAAGTTCTTTGTTTCTTCTACTTTCCTGCTCTTAGCCATTGCCAAGTCTTGTTATCTGCTTTGTTTGCTATTTTTTTTAAAAAAA